AAAATCCCTAGCAACAGCAACAGTTCCATTATCTGGAAGCTTGCTAAAGTGCTCCCCTTTTTTAAAGCTGGATGCAAATCCTCGCCGGCTAATTACAGGCCTATTTCCTTGACATCTCACTCATGCAAAATCTTGGAGCACGTCACATACAAACACATAGTAGAATTCCTGGAAGCTAATAATATTCTAAACCAGTTTCAACACGGCTTTAGGCGCGGTTTCAGTACAACCACTCAACTTACCGAATTTAGTCATGGTGTTATTGAAGCCATTGACTCTGGTTATCAGGTAGATGCTATTTTTATTGACTTATCGAAAGCTTTTGATACAGTTCTCCATTCCAAACTTTTACTTAAACTTAATTTCATATTAAAGAACCCGCTGCTCGTAGGTTGGATATCTAGTTTTCTCTCGTACCGCTCGCAGTATGTATTTTTTAACTCAACGGCATCCAGTACCGCTGATGTAACTTCAGGTGTTCCGCAGGGCTCAGTACTTGGACCCCTTCTTTTCTTATTATTTATTAATGACATATCCGGTAACATAACGTCTCAGATTAGGCTATACGCCGATGACTGCGTGATTTATCAAAAAATTACTTCTGCTGAGGATCACGAGAAACTGAACAACTCATTTTCCAATTTTTGCACTTGGTGCCAAACCTGGCAAATGAATGTAAATTTCCAAAAAACTGTGTGCATGACATTTTCTACTCGGTCATCCGCTCATCTATTTCCCTACTCATTCGATGGTTGTCATTGAACGAGAAAAATGGAATATAAGTACCTCGGCCTTCATTTCGCTCACAACATGTCCTAGTCCAAACACATTGATATTACGTATAATAAAGCCCTGAAGAAGGTTACTTACAGCGCGTTCTCCGTGTAGCACCAAAAGAAACCAAGCTCTTAACATTTAAAACGTTAGTATGGCCATTACTCGAATACGGTTGTGTCGTGTGGAATCCACACAAAGCGTCCGACATTGCAAAACTAGAATCCATACAAAAAAAAAAAAAAAAGCCGTCCGTTTTATCTGCCAAAGATATGACCGGGATTTTTCGCCTACGTCCAACTTAGCACCTTTGGGTTTAACTCCTTTATCTGCCAGGCGCCATTCAGAATGCTTAAAGCTCCTGTACACCTTGATTAATTCGCCGCGCTTGCCCTCGCTCCACAGGTATCTGCAGTTTGCCACACCACCCTCGGTTCACACCAGGAGTCAACATGCGCTAAATATTACGCCACTTCACCCCAAAACTGATTTGTTTAAGTATAGTTTTTTCCCTTCACTATTGAGCTCTGGAACTTGCTACCCGGCGATACCCGCGGGCTCCCTTTGGAGCAGTTTCTGAGTGCAATATAACATGCGTGTTAAGTAGATATTTCCATGTTCTTTTGCTTTCTGTGCTCTTGCTCTGTTCATTCTGTGTCTTGTGTAGTACTATGAACCAGAAATTTGTGCCATATGCTCATGTTTTTTGTTTCTGCTTGTTATCACCTGATAATTTGTATGTCCACTCCTGCAATAGCCCTAATAGTGGCTGCAGTATGTATAAATAAATAAATAAATAAATAAATAAATAAATAAATAAATAAATAAATAAATAAAAAATCTTTTCTCAGGCATCACGCACACTTTGTTACTTACGTCGCAATCGGAAATCTGCATCTGCTGAAATCAAGAAGCTGGCGTACCTAACATATGTGCAATCGAAACATGAGTACGCGTCGTTCCTCATCTTGATTTTAGCAGCGCATTGGGGGTCAAGCACTAAAAAGGACAAAATGTGCACAACACTTTTCTTTTTTGTCATCGTTCCCAGTGCACTGCTAAAATCAAGATGAAAACGCACGAACGTGTCAAGTTTCAATTATCACGCGTAATCTATGTGGCACCCATTGCATTCATACCTTGTAGGTGAAATAGAAGCAGTGTGAAACCGCGCCGTCCATTTTATATCATCCCAATACTCACCATGTATTGGCGTAACTGCTGTGAAACGCACCCTAAAACTTTCAGACCTGGAATCATGCACGCCACAAAGTTGCTCAACTTTGCCTGCTTCATTGTTTCTTTTATAAGTCTCCCACAAGACACATGCTTCTTATTTCACCTGTAACAACATCATCGATATTGGCTGAGCCATGCCCAATTGCACAGATAACTGATCGCACAGCGGTGATGAATAACTCTTTTTTCGCACTCGCAATGACCTCTTGAAACACGCTACCTAACGCCATTGCTTCGTGCCCTGATCGAGAAAAATATCGTGAAAAACTAACCTGTGAGTTTGTCCAACAAAAGGTGCAAACTATAAAATGTTAAATTGCCTTGTGAATGCAATTCTACAATTGTTGCTTTTTTGTTACCAATTATAGTTATTTTACTTCGGCGAAGCAAGTGTATTTCCTATTTTTTCTAATATGAACCTATTATAGGATGTCAATTTTTTTTGTGTACGTACGTGAGGCTACACTTTTTTGTTATCTTCATTTAGTTTGTTTTGATTTTTTACTAAACATAGTACTATACTGTTACCGAACCATTGTATTCCGCCCTCCCCTCCCGCCTTATGTAGTGCCTTCGGGCCCTTAAGGGATACTAAATAAAATGAATGAATTAATATTCTACTGAACTATTAACAGGCTAAGAAATGAATGATCAGAAGCATCAAAGAATGAACAGCTAATAATAGAAGTATCTGCCTTCAGGACGTGTTAGAAAAAGAATGAATGCAGTCTCTAGCAGCTATTTCCCTCTTGGCAAGTTTTTACCATCACGAGGACTTATTTCGTGAATATCTTTTGGGCCAATGGACCTGTCTTGTACGGAAATTCGCGATAGCTAGCTCGTACGTTGCGAAAAATATACTTAAGGACCCGAAGAATATTTAAGACACTGAAAATAATACTTTGTGTTTAATTTAAAAATTAAAAGTAGACACGTGCGAAAATAACTTTAATTTAAATTTATTGATGCCATTAATAGCCACACTAACGGTAAGCGTTGAGTTGCGCTTGCGATACAAATTTAGATTTTTGTAGAATAACACTCTGCAGTGAAGTTCAAGTTTAAAAGCTTGAACATCTTAATTACGTCTGGTTCGCTGTGAGTCACATCAAGTGTGGAAGACAGAGCTTATGAACGTTGTTTCCTTTAGGACAGTGCTATCACTAAACAGTGAAATATTTAACGCCATGCCACACAGGACAGTTATGTTTAATCACACTTGTGCGCCACAGGGTGAATGGTTATTAGGGATGATCGACATTCGTAGTTTTGGCTTAGCGATAAAACCTGAAAAACTAGACGCATTATTTTCCTATGCCTTTTTTTCTCACTCCGATTTATTCAACGCTGTCACATTGTCGCCGTTCGTCACAAGCTTTCAGTATTTATTGTGCAAAATTTATTCTTATGCTAAACTTTGGGTTAGGGAGGCCTGAAGGGAACGTCTCGTTTACCTTTTAAAGGGTAAATGACAAGAGGGCCGATACTCTAGAACTTCTAAAGCGCAGTTGTATGAAAGGCTAATGTAGATCTATGTTATTATGAAAATGAAGGTTAATACAGGACGCGACAGGTGACTTTAGCCGGATGACTTAGTACTGCCTGGTGATGTAGTGAAGGCTCAATTTTCATTCTGATTACACAGCACCACTTAAAACCAACCTGAAAAACTTGTCCAGTGTATTTTAAGCCAGAGTAAAAGCTTACTTGTATGTGTCTAGATTATACTTAAGAAAAATATTTTTGGAACGCCACATATGACAGGAGCTTCATCGGTCAGAAACTTCCTTTTCGCTCCGCTCGGTACCACCATTCAAAGGTATTTCACTAGCCCAATACCTCGTTTTACTAATATTGAGTCATTTTCTCATCGCGTGCCGCTGTGCTGGTAAAAGTCACTTTGAAAAAGAAAAGCCACCTTACATGTCGTTTTCGACAAAAGTGATGTGTTTTACACAACAAACCATAGGGTCGTGGGTCGGGAAGTGAGAAACGTTGCTGGCGTGCTCAAAGTTATAACTTATCGCTAAATTTAGGCATTTTCTTGTGCTACACAATGCGAGGTTTTCAGTTTGTCATCCAAATAATGTCAACCTGTTATTTGTTTGGTGCCCTTTCAAGCACCTATATATTTAAAACAATGGGCACCTTCCGTAAAATTACACTTGGAAGCATGAAAACATGGCATAATAATAAAAACTTTCTTGTCCGTACAAATTATGTATAAAAATGCTATGCTGGCATTTTGCTGCATTTTTACTGTGAACAAGAACGGAGCTTTTCTTAGTATTATTTAGAGATACACTGTCGGAGTGAAAAAAAATTTACACACAAAATGACATGCGAAATGATGAGACGTTTAGTGTAGTTATACTTTATTTAAACGAAATATGGCGGGCGTTGAGTTTTCTTTCACTACGTCACAAACTACTTGTATCAGAGGCGGTTCCCACTGAGTGCTGGCATAGCCTAATGGTGCACTTTTTGACTTCTGTTTTTTGTATTCTCTCCTGAAGGAAGATCTGTGAAATGTAATGTTCCAGAGTAGTCTTTTATATAATAATAAAAATAATGATATGAGTCATGGTTATAATAAGTAAGACAACCTGAAGCAATTGCAGCGTTCGTAAGTTGGGTGTTTTTTTTTATTAGATAACAGACATATTTAGTTGGGCGCCCGCAGCAGCTTAGCTTACGCAGCCTGCTAGCCCTTTTCTCTGGCAGGCTGCGTCCGCAGAGCTGTTGTGGATGCCCAACTAAATCTTTCTGTAGTGCACCATCTTCTGCGTAATCAGAATTGTGTTCATCAATATTATTTTAGTTGACTTGATCGAACGCCACAGAAATTCCGCGGGAATAACTAAAGATGAGAAGCCATTGAACAGGGAATGTCACAGGACGCAAAGATTCGAGGAGTGTTTTAGAGAGCCATGCGGTTTTTTATGAATAAACTAACTAATTAGAAAAATGTCCTAACTTACAACATCGGCAGTCGCAGTATGTCTTGTGGTCCCAACAAGCAATAACAGAGGGCCGTGTGCAATGACTTAGCCATGCTCTTTGACAATGTTCATACCTTACGGCTGAAAAAATGGTAAAAAGCACATAAAAAATGAGACAAGACGCTGCATTGTAGAGTACCTGTGCTGCGACAAAAAACACGCGGATACTCCACTGTCGTTAAATATTGCTGGCGGCTAGATATTTTACTCGATAGAATCAAGAACAGATACAAAAATCAGTGTGGCCTCAGTACATTGGGCTAGGAAACAGCATCCAAAGAAAGTAATAGGTTCACTTATTTTAGTAAATGCGCCTTCACACCACTCTAGTTCACCCGGATATTTCCGCTTCTATTTACAAAGGAGGTGTGGAGGCCAGCGAGAAGACCTTTAAGAAATCAGTAGCAAGTGAATCTGTGGAAATACTACGCAATGCAACAATAATGAATGATTCTGCATGACGTGGCAAGCAAAAACTAACCCGAAATATGCAATATTTTTTTATAAAGCTAGTAAAAAATTGCGGTGTATGCAGTCTGTGTGTGTGTGTGTTGTAAAATATTCAGGCAGATTCAGTATTTCAACTTTGCGAAGACTGGTTAAACAGCACAGTTGAAGGCATCATATACTTACACGAAGTTTCTTTCTCTTGTTAGTCGGTTCGTCACGTACCGTCAGGTCCTAATATATGAAACGCGTTGTATAGCCTGATTTTATGTCATTTATGTTGCAACTTGTGACATCATCATCACAGTAACAGGTTGCTTAAGTCGACATGATACCTAAAGGCTAACATATTCAGCGACGGCACACAAATTTTCATCACCGCAACTTAACAGAACAGAAGGTTTTATTGTGCTAAATGAAGAAGAATACATGTGCATGATATACAGAAAGAGGTCCCATAGTCAGAGACTGCAGGGGGACCTCTTGTACAATGTAGAATTGAGAATGATTGTGATGCACATAGCAGGAGGACAGAGCTACAGTAAAATGCAATTGAAACAAATAAAGTAAGAATATACCCTTGTAATCTCACAGAAACAATTTAAAAGCAAGAATAACGCACTAACTTCAATGACAAGTGATTACAGAACGCAACTCACAATGAACAGGAATCAATTAAGAAACAGCAAAACAGGCTAGTTAGTTGACATGATATGGTTTTTCAACTTCGATTTAATTACCTGCAGGGAACGGCATACTTTAATGTCGGAAAGTAAACTATTCCAAAAAGAAATTCCGGAAAAGTGAATGGTTTGTTTGCCATAATTGGTGCGAACTTTTGGCAGTAGAAAGCTATTGTTAAAGACAAATCTTGTGACATTGTTATTTGAGAGAATGGTAGTAAAGTGTGGAAGTTGGTTATTTATAGTTCTATACATGTTAATACCAAGGTTATATTTAACTAGCTCAGATACAATTAATATATTGTTTTCATAAAGTAGTGACTTAGCGTTAGAGAGATATGGGCTTGACGTGAGAATTCTTATCGCTTGGTTTTCAATTGTCTGAACTGAAGTAAGATGAGTGGTGTATGTGTTACACCATGAAGTAATACAGTAAGAAATGTGCGAATGAACAAAAGAAAAATACAGTGACATAAGTATTGATGGATTGAAATAAAGAGGAGATTTAATCAGTAGTCGAATGCCATATGTCATTTTTTCCCTAACATATGCAACATGTCGGTGGTATTTCAAGTTACTGTCGAGTTCAATGCCTAGGAATCTACAGCAGTCGCTCACATGGATATAATTGCGCGCAATTATAACAGGAGGAATAGAAGGTAAGGGTTTTTGTGGTGAAGAGAAGACAACAAATTTTGTCTTAGACGTGTTAATTTCTAACATGTTATTACTGCACCAGCGAACGAGTTGTGCCAGATCAAAGTTTAGTTTTCCAGTTAAGGATGTAATGCTGCTATCGGAGTTAAAAATTGTGGTGTCGTCGGCGTATAATATACAACTGGATGAAGAAAGGCATTTGGGCAAATCGTTAATATAGAGTAAAAACAAAAGGGGCCCCAGAATGGACCCATGGGGTACACCAATATTAGTTAATTTGGTTGACGAATATGCATTGGAAATTACCACCTTCTGTGTGCTGTTGCAGAGATAGCTACGCAATAATAGTAATGTTGGGCCAGTTATACCAAATGCTTCAAGTTTATTGAAAAGAATGTGATGATTGATCGAATCAAAAGCTTTAGTTAGGTCGATGAAAATGCTGCCCGCATAGTAACCGTTGTCAATAGCCTTTTTTAAATGGTCAGTAAGTGAGATTAGCGCAAGGTCACTGGAGTAGCCGGAACGAAGCCAAATTGACAAGGCGAAAGTATATTAAATTTGTTCAGGTAATTTGTGAGACGTGTACAGATCAGTTTTTCAGTTACATTGCTCAAGAAGGGTAAGATGCAAATGGGGCGGTAGTTATTCAATAACGAAGCATCTCCTTTTTCATGTACGGGGATTATTTTACCCTGCTTCAGTTCATGCGGGAAAACACCTGTTCTAAACATTAAGTTCACAATTGAAGAGAATACATTTGATATAAGGTGAGCTACCATTTTTATATGGGAGGGGTGAATGCCGTCAAGGCAAGCACTCGTCATTTTTAGGGTACCTATAACGCTGATTATTTCATCTGGAGTTGTGGGAAACAGAAAGAACGAATGGGGTAGGCGATCTAAGGCCATTTCATAAATAAAGGTAGGGTGTGCTCGTCGTTAAAGAAGAAGTTTGCAAACTGATCGGCGATGTCAGCTGGGTCACTATAAGTGACATCATTATGGAGAACTGTAGCTATTTTATCCGAACGTGGGTTCCCATTTAAAAAGGAATTAATGATGTCCCATTTTTTTGTCGTACTATTTCCGGCCTCAGTTATTTTTTGCGCATAATATTTTCTTTTAGTTTCTTTTAGCTGGGTGTTTATTAAGTTACAAAATTTTTTATAGCGAGCAATCAAATTCGCGTTAAACGGTTGCCTTTTAGTTTTTTTGCAGAGGTTGTCACGTTTGCGCATGTCTGTTAGTAATCCCCTCGTCAGCCAGGGATTTGCTGGTGATGCGATTATTTTTTTGCATTTTTGCTTATCTGTACAAGATTGAACATGCGATAGGAGCAAAGATGAAAAAAGGGTGAAAGCTTCTTGTGCATCAGCTTTAATATAAACTTCAGACCAGTTAGTGTTAGCAACGGTATCAATAAATTTCTGCTTGTCCAATATATCACGAATAAAGGAAGGTGAATCACGTTTTTCAGTGGAATCGAAACGCAGAAACATGGGATAGTGGTCAGTAATATTTTTTCTAGCACTCCAGCGTCTGGTACCGTGAGTAGATTTGAAAATGCATAATCAATGAGGGACCCATTGCTATTGCTGTTTGGTCTAGTTGGAAGACTGATTAAAGATTCATACCCGAAGCTATTTAGTGCAGCTAGATAGTTGATTGAGTTAGGTGACGAATCATCTAGTAAATTAATGTTGATGTCACCCATGATAATAGCATTTTTATTTTGAAGGGAAATAACATTTAGGGAGCGTTGCAAGTTTGTGCAAAATTCAGTAACTGGAGAAGACGGTGAGCGGTATATACAGCCTAATATTAATCTTTTGTTATCTATATTAAGAAAAGTATGCTCAAACTCAAGCCAGACCAATTCACAGTAGATCGTGTTTAATTCGAGATCAAACCTTCGTTTACAGGAAGCGTTAGAAGATACGTATGTGGCTGCGCCACCATGATTGCTAGATAACCTGTGACTGCAATATGGCGTGTAGGAAGGGAAACCGAACAGATTTCTATCGTCTTCTGATAACCAAGTTTCTGTAACAGCAATTACTGAGAAAGGGTTGGTAAACGTGGAAAGAAGACTTTGAAATTCATCAACATGTTTGCGTAGGCTTCTGGCATTAAGATGAATAGAAGAGCGGGAGTTACTCCCTAAAAACGAGTTTAGTTGCACAGGTGACAGAAGAGCCGACGAGGAAGGCATGGCTGGCGCATGCGCATTATGTACAATGGGGGCCAATTAGTTTATTTTATTCAGATCAGCCTCATCGCGTATCCTGTATACTTTACTGTCGGTTGTCTTGCGAGCTTTGATTTGGCAGTTTGTTGTCCACAAAAACATCCATTTTTTCTCTTTCTTTAGAGCCATAGCCTTAGAAAAGAGAGCCTTGTTCACAGGGGTCAAATGCTCATTTACATACACCGGATTGTCAGGTGTCTGTGTTATGTTGATGTCCCTCAGGCAGTCTTGTCTGGCTTTGCTTATGAATTCAGTCTTCTTATCCCTTGAACAAAATCGCGCAAGAAGGTTTTTGTTGCATTCCTTTGCTGTAGGAACACGGTGAACGACGTCAAGGTCAGATGGTGACACCGGGCATCCGATCTTTTCACCCACCGTTTGCAAGATCGCGACACAGTCCTCCCCTTGTGTGCACGGTACACCTCTGATCTCGACGTTGTTGAGCCGTGAATATTGTTCTATTTCAGCTAGTTTCTTAGACATCATGCGGTTTTCAGACTTCAGTGATTTGTTTTCGGCCATCAAGGCAGCGTTGTCTCGCCTTAATTCCTCAACAATTTTTTCCGTGAATTTTGCGCTAGCAACAAGGTCATCAACTTCTTTCTTCATTTGCACCGCATCGAAACCAGAATGATGCAGCTTTAACAAAATCCTTGCGAACACCGACTCCACCAAAGCCTCGGTTTTCAGCTTCTCCTCGAGTTCATCTAATCTCTTTGCCAGTTCAGCCTTCTTCGGCATTTTGTACACAATTAGAAGACACTCAGACAAGCTCAAAATGCGAACAATGGCAGCTGCGACAGCAAATGAGAAACGAAAGAATCGCAAATGGCGTGAAAACCAACCTGCAGTAAATTATACGGTAATTTCGGTCAGTTGCTCAGTGCGCTGCCGCTGCTGCCAATGACATCCCGTCGACAGTGCCGGACCTTTATAGCGTTGCTTGACGATTACAGTGCCGCCCAGGGGTGATATCAACGAAAACGCAGCCGTAGGTAGAGCTGCGCAGTCTCCGAAGGTGCCACGCGCAAGGTAGTCCGTGGCAGCAATCAGGGCGTCCGGCGATGAAGCAGCACCTCGGGAAGCAAGCTTGGACGATCGGGCATCGGCCGAAGTAACTGCAGTAAATTATACGGTAATCTAGGTCAGTTGCTCAGTGCGCTGCCGCTGCTGCCAATGACATCCCGTCGACAGTGCCGGTCCTTTATAGTGTTGCTTGATGATTCCAGTGCCGCCCAGTGGTGATATCACCGAAAAAGCAGCCGTAGGTAGAGCTGCGCAGTCTCCGAAGGCGCCACGAGCAAGGTAGTCCGTGTCAGCAATCAGGGCGTCCGGCGATGAAGCAGCACCTCGGGAAGCAAGCTTGGACGATCGGGCATCGGCCGAAATAACTGCAGTAAATTATACGGTAATCTCGGTCTGTTGCTCAGTGCGCTGCCGCTGCTGCCAATGACATCCCGTCGACAGTGCCGGTCCTTTATAGCGTTGCTTGACGATTCCAGTGCCGCCCAGTGGTGATATCACCGAAAAAGCAGCCGTAGGTAGAGCTGCGCAGTCTCCGAAGGCGCCACGCGCAAGGTAGTCCGTGGCAGCAATCAGGGCGTCCGGCGATGAAGCAGCACCTCGGGAAGCAAGCTTGGACGATCGGGCATCGGCCGAAGTAACTGCAGTAAATTATACGGTAATCTAGGTCAGTTGCTCAGTGCGCTGCCGCTGCTGCCAATGACATCCCGTCGACAGTGCCGGTCCTTTATAGCGTTGCTTGATGATTCCAGTGCCGCCCAGTGGTGATGTCACCGAAAAGCAGCCGTAGGTAGAGCTGCACAGTCTCCGAAGGCGCCACGAGCAAGGTAGTCCGTGGCAGCAATCAGGGCGTCCGGCGATGAAGCAGCACCTCGGGAAGCAAGCTTGGACGATCGGGCATCGGCCGAAGTAACTGCAGTAAATTATACGGTAATCTCGGTCAGTTGCTCAGTGCGCTGCCGCTGCTGCCAATAAGATCTTGCGATGCCCCTAGGGCGTGAGATCCGAATAATCATGCCTCTATGATTACGCTAAAGGATTGTAATACCATTATGTCAGACATTTTTACTCACTTAACTATAGTATTTGAGAACAATTGAATGCGTTAACACAAATTTTGTGAAGGAAAAATGTTTCAGTGAAAAAAAAAGAGTGAAATTGCGGACATTCTCTGCATTTGTTGTGCACGTGAAAAGCTTAAAAGTCATAAAAATGCTTACAGCACGCGAAACGCAGCTGTGTCCTTGATTCAAAGCAACTGGGTCTTCTCACACCTGTGCACTGGGATTGTCGCATACGGCAAGTGAAGTTGCCTGAGATATGAAAAAGAACCGTGAAATGTAAGTGGACAGCGGATGCGAGTGCGCTTTGCTGAGTTAAAAATTTATTTGAAGCACACAGGGCAATCTAGGCTTTTCGCGAAATTTTGGTTTGGCAAACATACTTTGCAACATAAAAAGATTTCCGATTTGTACTACGACACTACTGCTTCTTCTCTAATATTCCGTCCTTGTTGTCCTGAGAAACGACATATTTTAACAATTCCAACTAATATAAAAACGTAAGCAACTTTTTAACACAAATACTACACTTGTGGAAAATTGAATTTCTTTCACGACCTTCACAGTGATTGGCTTGAAAGTAAACGTTTTCACAATGCTTTGAAATGAATTCTGAAGCTATTCATCCAAAGAGGTATTCGCTACACTTGAGGTGACGAAACTATCATTTCAACGAAAGTATCATTAATACGATATGACTTACTTGCCTGACTTATGGCTGTAACAATCACAAGTGTCAGTGATAAATATAAAAAGACATTTTCGATCCATCGCTGAAAAATAGAGAAAAACACTTTGTTTTATTTTTATGGATGAGAACTTTATTGAGAATTTCGCTACTGTGAAAAAGAAGAAAATGGTTACAGTTTTTCCTTCGCTTAATTCGTAGAGTTTTTTCGCCCGAGCGAAACTATGTGATTTGGTAAAATGAGAGGGCTTCCTTTATTTCACAAATAGTGTAAAAACTAACCGGTAGGTTGCATCACCGCATGAAGTACAATGGGGCGATAAAGTGAAAGCCACGACATATACGGTACAGCATGAGGCTATCGAGCGTGAAGCAGCACAACCAACTGAATTCTAGTTTCCATTAGTTACATCGGGATAATTTCTGTTTATAACGAGAGTCATCACCCCTATTGGCACAAAGCTTGATGATGTCTATACGCCTGAACGTGCAGGAAATGATTGAAATAAAAAGATGCTCCTTGTGTCTATTACTGTTTAGCGAATTTCGTGCGCAGGTAGCGTGACACTCTTCAACTCAACTGTTAACAACTAGTTAATAAGAAGTTAATGTGTCGTCAGAGTACGATGACATGTTCATTATTTTGAGAATGTTGTAGCGAATAACGGGGTCAGGAAAAGAAATTTGTTTTTTTGAGGGGCCTATACAGAGAGAACACGTGGTCTTACACGAATGACGAATCGCTCTTTGATGCGCTGAATTAGCCACAGACCTATTTTGCTTTGACCTGGATGGCGTTCTATGAAGAGCTAGGTTGGTAGCTCATACTAATTTAATTGTTCTTGGAATAAATCATCGGATATGCTGGAATCCATGCATGTACAGTAATGTCACGGGGATGTGGATAGCACATACTCTGTCCACAGGAGCACTGGACCACAACATAGTACAAATCACGTCTCAATATGGTCAATTTTGTAAAATTTGTGATTTTTTCCTCGTAAAGTTTGACAATTTTAGTGGTCAAATAGTATTTTTTCTTGTTAAGTAAGTATTCGTTGTTCAGATATTCATACAAAGTGCAGTATTGCAATGGAAAAAATACGACCATAGTATATTTTGACTGAATTCTCGGAGGCGCATGAGGCACGAAAATCGCATTAATGTTACTGAGCTTCAAACGCTTTACACAAGCACCTTTATTTTACATGCAAACTAAATTTGGTACAAAAAGAAATAGGGGTACCTTTAAAATAAATGTTTCCCCAATCAACACCCAGACGACATTCTAGGAAGCTCAGAAAGCGCTGACGTGAGCAAGTATTTTTTTCTGTCCTAAATATTCTAGCAATTCCAACTAATATAAAAACGTAAGCAACTTTTTAACACAAATACTACACTTGTGGAAAATTGAATTTCTTTCACGACCTTCACAGTGATTGGCTTGAAAGTAAACGTTTTCACAATGCTTTGAAATGAATTCTGAAGCTATTCATCCAAAGAGGTATTCGCTACACTTGAGGTGACGAAACTATCATTTCAACGAAAGTATCATTAATACGATATGACTTACTTGCCTGGACTTATGGCTGTAACAATCACAAGTGTCATGATAAATATAAAAAGACATTTTCGATCCATCGCTGAAAAATAGAGAAAAACACTTTGTTTTATTTTTATGGGATGAGAACTTTATTGAGAATTTCGCTACTGTGAAAAAGAAGAAAATGGTTACAGTTTTTTCCTTCGCTTAATTCGTAGAGTTTTTTCGCCCGAGCGAAACTATGTGATTTTGTAAAATGAGAGGGCTTCCTTTATTTCACAAATAGTGTAAAAACTAACCGGTAGGTTGCATCACCGCATGAAGTTACAATGGGGCGATAAAGTGAAAGCCACGACATATACGGTACAGCATGAGGCTATCGAGCGTGAAGCAGCACAACCAACTGAATTCTAGTTTCCATTAGTTACATCGGGAATAATTTCTGTTTATAACGAGAGTCATCACCCCTATTGGCACAAAGCTTGATGATGTCTATACGCCTGAACGTGCAGGAAATGATTGAAATAAAAAGATGCTCCTTGTGTCTATTACTGTTTAGCGAATTTCGTGCGCAGGTAGCGTGACACTCTTCAACTCAACTGTTAACAACTAGTTAATAAGAAGTTAATGTGTCGTCAGAGTACGATGACATGTTCATTATTTTGAGGGTTTTGTAGTGAATAATTGGGTCAGGAAAAGAAGTTCGTTTTTTTTGAGGAACCTATACAGAGAAAACACGTGGTCTTACACGAACGACGAATCGCTCTTTGATGCGCTGAATGAGCCACAGACCTATTTTGCTTTGACTTGGATGGCGTTCTATGAAGAGCTAGGTCAGTAGCTTATACTAATTTAATTGTTATTGCAATATATCATCGGATATGCTAAAACCAATGCATTTACAGTGATGTCACGGGAATATGGATAGCACTTACTATGTTCACAGGAGCACTGGACCACCACATAGTGCCAAGTGCGTCTCAATATGGTCGATTTTATAAACTTTGTGATTTTTTCCCGTAAATTTCAACAACTGTAGTGGTCAAAATATATTTTTCCTTCAAAGTATACTTTTTGTTAAGTAAGTATTCATTGTTCAGATATTCATACAAATAGAAGTATTTCAACAGAAAAAATACGAGCATAGTGTATTTTGGCTGAAGTCTTGGAGGCCCATGAGGCAGAAAAGTTGCAATATTATTACTGAGCTTCAAACAACTTGCACAAACACCTTTACTTTACATGCAAACTAAATGTTGTACAGAAAGAAAGAGGGGTATCTTTAAAATAAATGTTTCCCCAATAAACACTCAGACGATGTTCTAGGAAGCTCAGAAATCACTGTCATGACCAAAGTTTTTTTTTCTGTCCAGAATATTCTAGCAATTTACTCTTCTCAATGCAGTAAATCAGCACGATGTTTGTCTAATACATTTGATGCGGTTACCGAAATTGCTGGGACGTTTGTAATGAAATGACACAATACAAAGTGACACTAAAGGTATGTACAAATGAACGCACAGACACATGTTACACAGCCGCATATGTTTTACATAACCAGTGCCTGCGTTTGAACCCGGCTCAAACTATACTTCATATTTATTGTTGTGCAGAGGGTCACCAAAGCTTTGTACGGAAAGTCTTGTTTTCTAGGCCAGCATCTGATGAACTGTAAACGTGTGAGTTTCACCTGAATAACAGTAATAATACTCTGGTAGAGTATAAGATAGGCTTACTGATATCAACTTTATGTGCCCGCATTCTCAGTGTAGGGAAAAACACGATGCTCTAAAGACAATAGGTATGAACTTTCAGCCTTTCCATAGAATTATACTCACGCAAAAGCGTCAAGTTTGTGATGAACGCCTTCCTCAACCTTGGGCTGTCGGCGCACGTGAACAAAGTGTAATGTTCAGAGCTATCGTTTTTTTCAACTACAATTTAATGTCATAGAAAGTCTCACTTTCCAACATTTCCCTGCATAGCTTCAATGATATCGGAAGTCTCTCGACGTGTTTGTATATATAAACTACATTTTAAAAAGAGGTCTTTATAATACCGTTAGTAACCGCAATTGCAGTGGCTTTAGTTTGAAGCAAAATGTATCTATAGGCCTCCCTCTGCCGTTGTATTTATTCACCGATTGCAGAAACGTACAGCACCAGGTAGCAATAACTTCGGCAAGTCAGGTGAATCATCTTTTACACTGATTCCTTAGCTGTTTCGACAAGAGTTCCTTGCAAATGCAAAGAAATATTATAAGATCAATTCATCATTCTCTTATTCTAAAGAAAAATGAGTTTATACTTGCTGTCAAAATAACACGCCTAGCTCACTCCGCGCGAGCTGCCACAAAACTTTTATATTGAAAAGGCGAGAATGAACATACTTCTTGCTGCAAACTTAGAATACAAGTGCGAATACAATGGTGACTTGGTGGCTTGTGACTTCGCTTTTATGTGGACATATAAAATATTCGATGGCGCCACCCTATTGTTAAATCACAGCTTAATAAGTGAGCCCAAAATACAAATAAAAGTGGAATTTCGAAAGCGCACAAGATATGCGTAGTTTCAATGCTACCTGTGAGGCAGATACAAGCCAGAATTGGACGTACAGCAGAAATGAAAATATTAATGCACGTCGTACAACAGATAGGGTATTGGGTGCTGACACTCTTTTAGGACGCGACTCATGACGTAGTCTACCTTAATAAAATATGACAGAGTGAGAGAGAGAGAGAGAGAAATTATTGTTTTCTACCACTTTTCACTTTCTTATGGGCACAAAATATGGTATAAAAAGTATTCTTGGGGAGTTGAAATTTATTTAGTATGACAAGCCCTGCTAATGTGGGACATTTAAAAAAAGATTATATTTAAGCTAATGAGCATAGAAGAAGGCGCCATCATTGAAAAAAAAAACAGAGAACGAGATAAAGAGAGGAGAGAAAGTGATCAGCCTGGTTAGTCACCTGGCTTGATATTCGATGTGTGGGTTTGCATGCGATAAGTACGTCTTTAAAAGGGTGACAGGATTGGAAGCACTCTTTGCCTCTACTTACTCTGTCCCCCTTTTTTCATCGTGGACGCACTGTTAAAGACTTTTTTAGGTCCTTACCAGATCGCCCGAGCTTCAGTTTCTACCGGCCAGTCATGTACGCATAAGTTAGGCAGAAGGTTGTTCTAAGGCCTTGCAATATCAGCTAGGCCAGTGGCACTGTCGCGGCACAGTGTGCTGGGCGGTTCCACAACTCGGGCCGAAAATGAAAATTGAAGTCTGAACCACGTTACAAGTGTCGTGCTACCCGCACAGAATGTCTTTCGCACAAATAAAGAGGATTTGCACACACAATTGGTAGTAAGTCTTTCGCAGCAGTGCATGCATGGCCTACTGCCCCGGCGTTTAGTTAAATTTCACACTTGAGATATTTTAGGTGACGTCATGTCTCGTTTACTGACATGATTTGGCCGCAAAGTAAGCAAGTACCAACTAGGCCAACAATCAGTATTGTCATGTCTTGTATTGGTAATACACTTATGCTTGAACTTGTTTGTTTAAGCTTCGCGTCATAGGAAAGTGGCTGCCTTTTTTAGGCAGGGCACTGTACTGATAACTTTTCATGGCGTTACAACTTAGGAAGACAAGGCTTTTTGCCAATGCGAGTGTGTGTTTCACCATCTGTGTGCTTCCCATTTGTGTGATTACGCTTTTGGTGTCCACTGTAGGTTGAATGTGTGATATCAGCAGAGAAGAAAACAGCACGTACTTCTTTATTTCGAGATCCTTTTTTTGGATTGTTATTCGCACTAACAAAGGAAATGATTTCTTGCGTCCAGACTCTACAGGGCACAGCTGTGTATATCATATGAAGGTTGAGTAGCTCGAATATTCACAATTTGCAGCAGTTCTTTTCTTATAAGCATCTGTTCTGCCACATTTACTTTGAACAATGTTTGTTGGCTTCGAAATATCACAGACTGTGCACGAAATAATCCGGAAACTACTGCAGTTGCCCAATTCATTTGTGCTTGAGAAACATTGCTTTGTGCTAGATCGGCCGTCCATCATACCAGTAAACAATAATGCGTCTCTCACAATCACAAGGTGGTTTTTGGGATGCTAAACCGCACATATAAATCATCAATATTGATAACTTCAGAGCCGTCGTTATCTGATGCACTGCATGACTGATGCTTACTGTGTCTTCGTTCTTGTTTCTTGTGCCGAAATTCTCATTCAAAACTTCGTTTAAAAGAAAGAAAACTCTTCCAGTGGAGAATTCTCTTTCTTTCAACCCTTGCAGTCAACAACGTGTGGCATTATGCTATCTTTGGTGCGCTGGAGGATTCAGACGTTGTAATCCGATTGTGTGTATAGATTGTGGGCTACCTTAGCCGTCCTACTGGTTATGCGTAGACAAGCGGAGGAGATAGCGATCGTTTTATTATGGTCCGCGAGTCTCTCCAAGAGGGTGTTCTCAGTCTGACCCTTTCCAACATCACGCTCATTAGACTTGCTGCTGAACTTCCTGACATGGCGAAGGTTAGTACATATGTGGACGACATCGCAAGTGAACGTCTGGAGCTCCACGCCCCCCAAACGTGCCATCACAGCAAAATACCTACAACGTCAGGGTCTCGCACTGTCAACTGAAAAAACGTGCAATGCTTGCAAGGTATCCGACAAAGTACTTGACAAAGCACCCGACAATCGTGAATGGAAGAAAGATTCCGGCTGTAGTGCAACACAAATTCCTTAATATGATCGTCGACGGGAATTTAGCGCGGTCAAAACGTCGTGGCATGGAAGTTAAAGCTACGGAGGTTTGTCGACGTTCTTCGAGTCGTGCCAGGAACAAGAGAATACTAGTCGTAGGCAGCTCCCCTACAAATGTAACAAACATTTTCGTAAGATACGGTACAGCATGCATGTGCTCAGAAGTATGAGTCATAGTTGTGTGAGCACACTAGAAAGCATCCAAGCGCAACGGTTGCGCCCGTGGTTGGGCCTACCACGTTGCTCAAGAACCAATGGAAACTTGGGATTATTATTATTATATAAATTTAGGAAACGGTGACGCTTTTGTAAAGCACTGGCTACTCCTTTTCACGCTTGTTGAAAGTACAGGAATCAAAAAAGAATATTTACAAAGAAAAGAAGAGCTGGGCAGGTCCATTCACACAATAACAGGAACAACATAACATAAAGTCTCCTTAGATAACACAGCAGTCGTCATAAGATTTAGTAGCTTATCCTATCAATATACACGATCTGTGAGAGCTTCTTCGAGTCCAACCTGGCCTGTTGACCAAATACAGGCAACATCCTCTATCAGTGCTCCCTGCCACCCACCCAGACTCTTAGTTGTTCAAGAGCAATATTCGGGTACGAGAACGTTACCCCAACAAGTTTCTCTTTCCCACATGTTCCTGTGATACCTACGTGGGTCCTGCATAGATCAGGTCTCAGAATTAGACAAATAGGATTACACAGAAGTCCCTTGTATCACCAATCTGCCTAAAGCAAGTTACCCTTCTGCACATTCCTGAAATGTACGGCGCTCCAGCACACGTTTACACTGACAGATATCATGACCACATCCACTTTTGCGGGGCTTCTTGCAGTTCGGGAGGCAATACGGTTCATTTCCGCAGAGCTCACTCATAGATAACTATACTCTGTGATGCAAAAGCTGCTCTTCAAAGTAATGATTGAGTGATGAAGCAAGGCCCCTATTACTTTATCGATAGAAGTGTATGGCAAGAGGGTATACCAGACACGTAGGTTGCACTGGTGCACCTAAAGGGCAGTTGGAGTGAGAAACAACACAAAAACCTGGCTTCGTGAGAACATTCTAAAAGAATAATTAACTTCCTTTTTTTCAAGTGAGTTCTGCCTTGCCGCGTATATGTCTGTATTTAAAGACGCACATGAGCTTTAGTCCCATTGTGGAGGTTTTACGTCCCGAAACCGCAATATAGCTAAGACAGACGTCGTTGTTCCGCGAATTTCATGCACTTGATGTTCTGTAGCGTGCAACTAATTCTAAGTATATGGTCCTTTGGCCTTCGCCACCATGGAAGCACTGTCACCGAAGCCAGGATTCGGTCCCGCGACTGGCAGGCCAGCACTGAGGCACAATCAAGGAGCAAGGAATATTGCCGCTGAACTATACTATGGTGGGTTTCACATAAAATTTCTTCGAGTATGTTTACACTCCCTTTGAAAAGTCTTGGGAGCCAAAGGAGAATGCACGTCTGTCTTCACACAGATCCATAATTAAGGCACGTTGGTATACTCATCGAATATGGTTACACGTGCGCTTTTAACAGTGGCAGATGATTACGCTTGGCGAAAATTCCAGCATCGTTCACACAAAACTGGGTGGTTAAGCGCCGAAGAAAGTGGGTACTAGCCAAGCATCTTCTCGCACAGCATAGTGATGAGTCGTATGTTACAGCAAAGGGATGGGAAGGGGAAGTGAGGCTTAGAAGGAAAGATGCGGGTATCGGGAGCAGAAAAGGAAGGGAGAGGGTAAAGTGTATATAGCATTGTCGTGTACGGCATACGACTGCAGTAAAGTGAGAGCGAGGACAAGAGAAATTAATAGTTAGAATGATAAAATAAAGCATGGCTGTTTTTATTAACGTACAGCAAGTAGGCGGGGAAAAAGAGTGAGCGTAATGAGGGGGAAAAGGAGGTAAGGGGTAAGGCATAGTAAAGTCATGCGTAATATCAATAGCGAAGGCTGGAAAAGTGTAATGAGGTTGACGACGAGAAAAAAGAGAAGGAGGGTAAGGCCACCAGAACCGTTGTTTCTTCAGTCGTCGCTCCACAAGTGTGTAGCTGCCCAAATTTTTGCTTGGAGTGCACACGTTAGTTAGAACAAGGATGGGTGAACACTTTGAAGCACTGTCATGCGTTGGTGAGCAGCGATAATTGGCGCATACGAGGGACATTGTGTGCTCCGAACACGTATACAATATTTATTACATTTTTTACTGCAGTGAATGCCAAAAATTGGGCAACTGTAGCCAACACTAGCCTCTTTCAGCCTGACAGAAAGTAACCCAGATCAGTTGGTGCTAGGCAGGACAAGCCAAAGTTAAACAACAATAACAATGCGAGCATGCACTGCTCAAGCTTGACAACTAGCATTTGCAAGCAATAGCAGTCAGTTCGCCAGCATTACTCAGCACTCAGTCACCTCTTAAGTCTACACTAGTGAGCACAAGCCATCAATCAGACAACAATAGCCAGAGCTAGTCAATAATAAGAAATACTAGGTCTCATTAGCATAAACAAGTCCACATTTAGCCACACAGCGTTGGCTTAAAGCGAGTAATAAAAATGAGAATGGGGGTGCAACGACCAAAAACAACTACACGCTTATTCCAGACGCAGTAGTGGAGCTCTGCCTGAATTTAGA